TTGTTGGCTGTCCGCTGTCGTTGTTGGGTGTCCACTGTTGTTGCTGACTGTCCCCTGTCATTGTTGGCTGTCTGCTGTCATTGTTGGCTGTCTGCTGTCGTTGTTGGGTGTCCACTGTCGTTGTTGACTGTCCACTGTCGTTGTTGGCTGTCCGCTGTCATTGTTGGGTGTCCACTGTCGTTGTTGGCTGTCCGCTGTCATTGTTGGCTGTCCGCTGTCGTTGTTGGGTGTCCACTGTTGTTGCTGACTGTCCCCTGTCATTGTTGGCTGTCTGCTGTCATTGTTGGCTGTCTGCTGTCGTTGTTGGGTGTCCACTGTTGTTGCTGACTGTCCCCTGTCATTGTTGGCTGTCTGCTGTCATTGTTGGCTGTCTGCTGTCGTTGTTGGGTGTCCACTGTTGTTGCTGACTGTCCCCTGTCATTGTTGGCTGTCTGCTGTCATTGTTGGCTGTCTGCTGTCGTTGTTGGGTGTCCACTGTTGTTGCTGACTGTCCCCTGTCATTGTTGGCTGTCTGCTGTCATTGTTGGCTGTCTGCTGTCGTTGTTGGGTGTCCACTGTTGTTGCTGACTGTCCCCTGTCATTGTTGGCTGTCTGCTGTCATTGTTGGCTGTCCGCTGTCGTTGTTGGCTGTCCGCTGTCGTTGTTGGCTGTCCACTGTCGTTGTTGACTGTCTACTGTCGTTGTTGGCTGTCCACTGTTGTTGTTGGCTGTCCACTGTTGTTGTTGACTGTCCACTGTCGTTGCCTTCTGTCCCCTGTCATTGTTGGCTGTCTGCTGTCATTGTTGGCTGTCTGCTGTCGTTGTTGGGTGTCCACTGTCGTTGTTGACTGTCCACTGTCGTTGTTGGCTGTCCGCTGTCATTGTTGGGTGTCCACTGTCGTTGTTGGCTGTCCGCTGTCATTGTTGACTGTCCGCTGTCGTTGTTGGCTGTCCGCTGTCATTGTTGACTGTCCACTGTTGTTGTTGACTGTCCACTGTCGTTACTGACTGTCCCCTGTCATTGTTGGCTGTCTGCTGTCGTTGTTGGCTGTCTGCTGTTGTTGTTGGCTGTCCGCTGTCGTTGTTGACTGTCCACTGTTGTTGACTGTCCAC